CCAACTTTAGTGATTCTGTGATTCTGTGATCCCATAGTACATCTGAATGGGTATCTTTTGAAAGAGAATGTTTTTTTACCTGTTTTCCAAGTCTTCCTTCTTTCATAGGATGAGTTAAAGTATGAAATTTAAGAATCAAACTACTGCTCAGCTTATCTGTCCCTGTTAGTTGCACCTTTCTCCATGGACTATTATAAGAAGCTAAAGTACGTAATACCAGCTACTGAGCTCCCCAGTGTCGGAGCTTGCTTGCATTTTAACTATCTTTTCAGTGAGGGCTCTGCCTGTGAAATACTAAATTCAGCTGGAATTGTGTTCCCACATTTGGCAGCAGCTTTATCCTGCTGCTGGCAGATTGTGCCCAAGTCCTATGAATGATTCTGTCATGGCCTGGAGGTGGAATGCGCCAAACCAAATTACTCATCGGTGGAGTTCATTTTGATTTCTCCTATAGCTAGAGCTCAAGAAAAATCTGCCTTGTATTCTTGATGTCTGGAAATAGATACTAAACCTGCAGTACCGGCATCAGAGAAATCCACCCAGTCTGAAGGAGGCTGTGAGGCTTGTTTAACTCGAGAGCTGATTGTCCCGTTCCCTATCATCACTAATTACCAAAGGTGCTTAAGAAAAGCAAATGTGTTACTGTGATTTAATCTCTTCTGCAGGTTGAGATCTGGCTGAATCATGTGCTAGACAGCATGAGGGCTACCATGAGAGACGAGATGACGGAAGCTGTCATGGCTTATGAGGAGAAGCCGAGGGAACAGTGGCTCTTTGACTACCCTGCCCAGGTATCTGCCACTGCTCCTCATCTCCTCTCAGGCTGGCAAGTCGGAAAGGCATCTCTTGCCTTCCCCTTCAGTCTTGCCCTTCCCTTCTTTTAGTAACAGCCTGTAGCTGTGGATGGAGATGTTTCTGGCCTCTGCCGTGCTACCCAGGAGGGAGGAAGGATGAGTTGTCCTTTATCCTGGCAATCTCCTGATGGAGTTTCCAGGCTGAGCTCCATGCTCTGATTGGGGATCCAGGGAGGGTACACTCTTGGTTGGGTTACACAGCCCAGGGGCTTGGGCAGTGTTGCCGCACCCTGTGGTCACAGGAAGTCTGTACACCCAGAGGAGCAAGAGGCGCAGCAGGAAAACAAGGTGGTGAGGGCTAATGAGAGGAAAAGAGCCCTCGGGTGCACCTCTGACAACCTCGTGGTCTCCAGCTCTTCTGCTGTGTCAAGCATGTGAAAGGTGCTGATTTACTAGTAAGTAGCTGCTAAATGTGTCTACCACTGAAGTGACATTTTAAATGAATGTCACAGGGCAGATCCCTGTTGTCCTGACTGCTGCAACTACTGTATGAAAAAAATACTTAATTTCATGTCACAGATACTTCATCCTTGATCTCCCTGTGGATCAGACACTCTTGAATGGAGGAAGCTCTGGTGTTTTCTCTGATACTGAGCCGGCCCTTTTCCCTAGGTGGCTCTTTCCTGCACCCAGATCTGGTGGACAACTGAGGTTGGGATTGCCTTCGCCAGGGTGGAGGAAGGCTATGAGAATGCAATGAAGGAATACCACAAGAAGCAAGTGACCCAGCTGAACACCCTCGTTACCATGCTGATTGGGCAGCTCTCCAAGGGTGACAGGCAGAAAATCATGACCATATGCACCATTGATGTGCATGCTCGGGATGTGGTGGCAAAGATGATAGCACAGAAGGTTTGTGTTCACAACTCAGCGTGGTCTTATGTTAGTGTCGGAACAGGGGTTACAGGAGTGATAGGCCAACCACAGGCCATTCAGATCACTGCCTGTCTCAGTGGGAGACACACAACTAAATTTACTTCTACAATGTGTTTGCAGTGAGGAGACAGAAAGCCCCCGTAAGCCTGCAGTGCTGTTCTGCATCATGGCCATGCAACACACAGGGGTTTGTACTTGACACAGATTCACACCAGGAGTGAGAGTGTGGCCCTGTGTCCTGGCCGAGGCATGTGTTGGTGGATGATGGTGGTGTGTTGGGAAGTTGCTGGATACAGTCTGTTACGGCTTCATAAAGTACAAAAAAGCATTTGGGCTTTTCTTTTCATAGCCTCCTTGGTCTGGTGTGGGGCCACAGGGACTCCTTTGGGACTCCTTGTCCTGCACACCTCTCCCACACTACTCCCCTGTCCTTGACACTGTGCCAAGTGTCCAGCCCTGCAGCTGGGTGGGAAGGTGCCCTGAGTGTGCTGGGTTGTGGCTCTACCCTCATCTGTGTCCTCTCAAGAGGCAGCCAGGCTGCTCACAGGGTTTCTTGGCTTCAAGGCTCATCTGGGTTTGGTGGTGCCTTGGCCCAATTTGTGGTGAAGTAGCCCATCTGCTGGGCCTGCTTGCTGGCTGTGAGAGAGCACTGGCCATGGCTGTCCTTGCCCCCTTGTCCCTAGCCTGTTCCCCTGGTGCTGTCTGTGGCCCCTTCCCTGTCTAGACAGCCTCTGCTCCTTCTCTCACCCTGTTTGCATTATAAAAGCCTCTTCATGTCTTGCTGCTTCTTAATTCTCCTCTGCAATAGCCTTTTCGTGCTGCTTTTTGCTTGGGTATTTTCTTATTTCTCTCCCACTGATGTGGTCACTAATTTGGTTCCTACCCACTAATGATGGGATATGGGGATGTGACATTTTTGACTGCATTGCAGGGTGGTGACCTTCCTCACCCCACCTGCCTTTGCAGTGAAAATCATTCCATCCCTGATGAAAACTCTGCCACAGTCACCGTTTTGGCACCGGAGCTGTGTGTGCCTGGCATCCCTGGCCTTCCCGTGATGGTGCTTGTGGGTGTGTTGCAGGTGGACAACGCCCAGGCATTCATTTGGCTGTCACAGCTCCGGCACAGATGGTCAGAAGAGGAGCGGCACTGCTTTGCCAACATCTGCGATGCTCAGTTCCTGTACTCCTACGAATACCTTGGCAATACCCCTCGGCTTGTGATCACTCCACTGACCGACAGGTAAGTCCCTGGGAAACACTGTCATGGCTGGGCTTTGCCACACAGTCAGAGAGAGCTGCCAACCAAAGATGGATTTAATTTGGTCACCTGCATCCTTCTTGTTCTTTCTTCGTGGCCTAGCAATCCGGTGGCAGAGCTCTACCTCTCCGCTGGTTTGTGATTTGATGGCGGTACTCTCTGGGGTTTCTGTGCCTGTCCCAGGGTGGGATTCAGCTCACAGATTAAGATGCTCACCTCTGGGTGTCTGCCTGTGCACAGGATGTCCACACCCCATAGAGTTGATGAGTCTAGAAAGCTTTCATCCCATCTTGAAGTAGATATATACCGCTTGCTTCAGTTGTCTCAATGGGGACACCTTGGGTGACCTGAGATGCTCTGCGTTGTCCTGCCTGGCTTCCAGCTGCCAATCCAGAAGTGTGCAAGTCTTCTGTGGACCCCTTGTCATAACTTTAGACCCTATGTGACATTTTAGTGGTCAGGAGCATCTCAGGCGGCTCTAGTCACCCATGTTAGTCAGCTGAGCCGGGCTCCCATGCATGATCGGGTTTTGTTGGCCGTATTGACTACAGCTGGGTGGTTTATACTGGGAATGCAGACACTCACATGTGGGCATCTCCCTGATGTCTGTCATCAGCATGATGGAGAAGCTTTGGGGCTTGCTGCAGCACTGAGTGGGATCTGAGGCCAGATCCTACAGGCCGCCTGAGCAGTTTTCTGTCAGTCACAGGGAAAGGAATACTTTGGGCTGAAGAGCACTGGGAAGCAAGAGGAAGGTCTTTCATAAAAGCCAACCTTTTTCCATACTATCTGGGACAAGCCCAGTATCAATAAGGGGTATGAGGAACCAAAGAAAGCACAACCCTGGATGTGAAGAGCTTGGCACACGCTGGTGGGAGGCAGTGAGTGTCTTTTGGAGAAGGCACAGCTGGGCAGAGGTGGTAAATTAATGCCCAAGAGGACTTACAGCTCCCACATGCACTTCTGCTCACGTGTTGCTTTGCAGAAGAAAGGCTCTCCTGAGTGCAATGCCCTGGTGCTATTCTTCTGCAACCCAGCAGTGACTTGTTGGACCAAGTCTCAGTCTCTTTCCTTTTTTCCTTCATCCTTTGCTGTGAAAGATGTTACATCACCCTGACCCAGTCGCTGCACCTGATGATGAGTGGAGCACCTGCAGGCCCGGCAGGCACTGGCAAGACAGAGACTACGAAAGATTTGGGGCGAGCCCTGGGCATCATGGTGTACGTGTTTAACTGCTCTGAGCAGATGGACTACAAGGTACTGCTCCTACCTTGGCCGCAGTGACGTCACGTGGGGCTGGGGGTGCTCCGGGACCCCATGAAACCTGGGAGTAATCCAGCTGAGATCACTTTGATCCATCACCTACCCTCAAATCCGTGCTATGTTCTTTTCTGGTCACCTTCTTCTCCTCCTCCTTTTTCTTCTCCAAGACTTGCACAAGGTTCTTCAGGAGGCAGAGACCCGAACTGTCCTCTCTGCCTTCTTACGCCTTTCCCTTCCTTTCCAGAGTTAGATTGCATGTGAAATGCTTCAAAAATTTTGGACTGTTCAGTTGAGACCGAGGCTGTGCTGATACTTCGACCCTGGTAGTTTCTTCTTGGCATGCTTGCAGGCTGGCAGGCCCTGGCATGGGAAGGGACCTGTCCTGGATTTCTCAGGATCCCCTCCCAGAATAAAAATGTGCTGAACCTTCAGCCGCTGCAGAACGATGGATTGTTAGGCTGAGCCTTGCTCTCTGCCGGTCTGGCACGGTGCAGTGATTTTGGTGGCCTTGGATCATATTATATTCAGCTTATGGGCTCTCCCAGGACGCGGGGCCGTCAGTAATTCAGCACAGGTGACCTTTAAATGAAACTAGTGCACAGATATATCGAGAAAGTGCAATTAGCAAATCAAGTGGCAAACTGTGCAGAGCTATAAATATTATAATTGAGTTGTGCCTGCTGTTTCCATGCACTTTTCTAAATACCCACAATAGACTGTAAATTGCTATAAATAAATAGGCTGGGAAATAAAATCAATTTTTTGCTGGAGTTGATCCCATTTGTGATTTCACTCTCGTAATCTTTTTTTTTATTTTTTTTTTTTTTTTTCCAGTCTTGTGGGAATATTTACAAAGGCCTTTCCCAGACAGGAGCCTGGGGCTGTTTTGATGAATTTAACAGGATCTCAGTTGAGGTCCTTTCTGTGGTTGCTGTACAGGTAAGTGGAGAAATGCTTGTAAATAAATACAAACAAGGCAGAGCTGTGCGGCAGCCTTTGGAGCAAGGGTAAATATGGAAAGTGCGTGTTGCCGTTTTCAGTTCTGTGTGTAGGCAGGTGAGGGATTATATCCCAAGATTAATCACATGAATATCACAGCACTGAAAAAATGTAGCAGTTATATGCTGCAAACATTTTTGTCACTTCTTTTCTTCCCCCAGCTGCAGCATTTCTGTTGAGACAATTTTTTGTAGCTTCATTCCCAGATCAGCATACAATGTGGCTCTGTACCTATTCCTCCTAAGGAAGACACTCGTGTCGTTAATGTGCTGTGAGATAACTGCAGCACGTCATTTTAAGGAGAGTTGCCTTGACTTTGGCAACTCAGCCTGCCAGGTAGGGAATAATTTTCACGGAGGGAAAGGCTGGTGTTTGGGGCAGATCCATGGCCTGCTGGACTTTTGGGGGTTACTTATTGCCTCCAGTCAGGTACAGGTTATTTGTCATATTCAGTGAATCGTAACACACTCAAGATTAATTTTCTTAACCCTTACCTGTCACCAAGGCTGTGCAGTCTTCTTTCATTCCTTCTCTTTTCATATGGCTGTAGATTTAATTCCAGTGTCTGTAATGAGGGCTCTGCGAAATGGCTTTGGAGGGTATTCCCAGCAGAGTGCTGTAATTCCTAGGAGGAATGCATGTGCCCGTGGGTGCAGCGCGGTGCTCCCAAAAGCCAGTGCCAGCTGGGTGACTCTCGTAACTGGAACCTGCAGCAGGTCTGCCGCCCTTGCTTGCGTACTTGCCGCGGATACCCTGGCAGCGTGGGATTAAAGCTAGGAGAGGGCTGTGTGAGCTGTGCCCAGCTATGCAGAGGTGTTTTCCCTGTAGAATGACTTCTCATCTCCTCTGTCGTTTAACCGTTCGGTGCATTTTATTGGTGAATCTCGTGTGAAGCACAGCACCAGTCCTTGGAGAAGGGCTGGAAAGGAGACTGCTCTCCCCGTCATGCTAGAGAGTCTTGTTCTCTTCTGCCTATATATAAATCTGGCGCTTTGCATCCTCCTTCCCTTCCTTTTACTGGCCCATGAGGAAATCTGGAATTATTTTATACATGGGAAAGGACTGCAGGAGGAGAGGCGTCCGTACCCTGGTTGTGCATGCCCAGCGGGTGGTGAAGGGGCACCCAGGGTAAGTGCTGCTGGTGTGAATCCCCTCTGGCAGGGGCTTAAATCTGGGGCAGCCCAAATATAACCACGGGGAAGCAGGGTGAGAACAGGCCCTTCTGCCTCTTCTGGCTCTTGCTTTGAAGGAGAGCTGGGTCTGGATGTTGTTCAGATCCTAAATCTCATTATTATCATCTGAAAATGCCAGGTAAATCCAGCTACCAGGGGAGTTTGAGCAGAGGGTGGGTGCTCAGCTGCACTGTCCAGACCAAGACAGCTCTGACATGGGCAGAACTGAAAGTTTTGAGCCTTGGGGTTTCTACACTTTTGTAAATATTTCAGTCAAAGACATTGTTCTGAACACCTCCATGAACTCCTCATTCTTCTCATCTCTCTTTCACTCATAATTGGTGCCTTATGTGACGTCCCAAAGAAGCCCCAGGAGGGTACAGGAGTTTATGTATCGTTCCCTCTCAATTTCTCTTCCATCAGGTTCTAGTTTAAAGTTGTCATTGAAAAAAGTCTTTGAGGATCTTAAAATAAAAAGGGAAGCTGAACAAAAGAAACCCAGATATGACTCAACTGCTAATGATTCCCTCGCTCCTAGCTGGAGCATGGCATCTGAAGAAAGCAGCACGGCTGTCATTCCATCATCGTGTCTCCTGGCTGCTATTAGGAGTGTAACCATGGTGATGTTTAATTGGCTGTCTTAGTCATGCAGCTAATGTCGATATGGTTCCTTACAGAGAAAAATTCGATTAATTGCTTAACTTTAAGATGAGAAACAGCAGTAAGGTTAGAGTAGTGAATAGAGAGAGAGTTCTTCTTCACTGAAGTGCTCTTTGCAGAAAGGTGATCTAGCTTTAATAAACTTGCTCTCTTTGGAAGGCGAAGAATGAGAAGAACAAAGCTGCAATCAGGCAAATATAAAAAACAATGTACTCTTAATGAGCGAAGGTGTCAGGGGAGGTTTTACAGCTTCTGCCTTGTGGTTTTGGTTTTAAATTAAGCGTCCATGTCCCCAAATCTTTAAAAGCGATATCAAGTGATCAGTGTGCAATTGAGCTGAGGCCAAGTTTATCAGGAAACACTGCTTCTTTTCTGGCCCTAGTCAAGGGGCAGAGCACCACAGGAGGGTTTTTTGGGATGTTGTGAAGACCAATGATGCATGGGGAGAGGTGAAGACGGGTGAAGGGAATCAGGGGCCCATGTTGTGTCAGACTCTTGGGAGTCCATTTGGGTGTTGGCTGCGTGTGGACACCTGGACAGCTCTGCATCTCATCTCATCCATCTGGCCTCCCACTAGGAGGGAAATTCAAAGAGATGATTTAGCCTTTGGTGGTGTGTTTGCTGTGAGATGTGCTGAGAAGTGTCCCATGGGTGATGTCAGAAGCCAAGGTGAGAGATGCAGGCAGCATTGGGGGTGTTTCCTGCTCCTGAATTGCTCTTCCCGACCCACGTCCCTCATTTTGTTATGGAGCACAGGTGCAGATTCTTGCGACTCCTTTGCACTTTGACTGCCCAGTCTCTTCAGCTCTCTTTTCTGCTTTGTCAGAGTTTGATTGTGATGGGAGATTGATATTGCCATACAGATTTACTCCAAACGGTATATAAAGCTTTATGTGGTCAGTAAAAGAAAAAAAAACAAACAGTGATAAGCTCCAGTTGTCATGGGGCCAAGTGTAAGGACGGCAGCATTGCTGTCTGATGTGTTTTTCGTAACTGAACACCGATACTATAATGCTGTCTTGGTTTCTAGGTTAAGAGTGTGCAGGATGCAATACGGGAGAAGAAGAAATCCTTCAATTTTCTTGGAGAAGACATTAACTTAGTACCCTCAGTAGGCATTTTTATCACCATGAACCCTGGTTACGCAGGACGAACTGAGCTACCTGAGAATTTAAAAGCTCTCTTCAGGTGAGTCCAGGTCAGGGTTTGTGACCTGTATTATAAGTCTGGCAGAAATGGCCTTTTGGAACATCCAGGCTTGACTTAATGTCTTTGGGGAATTCATTTGCATTGGGGATTCACAGATAGTTTCTGACTTCTGCAACAAGTCTGGGAATGCACAGGCAGGGCAAATGAGCTCTGTCCCTTGCAACGGGAAAGGCAGAGTGTGACCTGCCTCATAGGAGAACACCTGGAAGATAAAGCTGCAAATCCACGGCCCCTAAGACCTGTAGTCAAGAAACACTTGTTCTGCAATCTTTTCTCGCCTGTCTTTTTAGGCCATGCGCGATGGTTGTGCCAGACTTTGAGCTGATCTGTGAAATTATGTTGGTGGCCGAGGGATTCATTGAGGCCCGGGCGTTAGCCAGGAAGTTCATTACTCTCTACCAACTCTGCAAAGAGCTCCTGTCCAAGCAGGTGAGCCCTCTTCTGTGGCTGGGTAGTACAGTGAAGCCTGTCGATCTTCAAAACCAGCAGTAATGTGGTACTCTGCTGCTCAGCTCCATGGCTAAAGCATCACAGCTTTTATTTAATGACTGCATTTGCACTAGCTGCTGGGAGAAGAGAAAGTTTGTGATCATCAAGCAATGAAATTTTGCAGATCCGCTGAGACAAAAACACTTGACTGGCTGCAATTAAAGGGAGAGATCTTTCAGTGGGCTCAAGTGACACCACATTTGGGGTAGTATTCAGTGACCCTTTGCTTTTGAGTCTCTTAGTTCCTATTGATTCTCCTGCTTGCAAGAGTTTTACAATGTCTGACCCTCTCTGAGTTCAGCCTAACACTTCCAGGAATTGTCAGGTATTGACCACGTAGGGTCACTTTCAGTGCGAAGCAACTCAGATTTTCCTTGTCATCATTTGCATAGATCAAAGCTGGATCCAGAGAAGAGCTGAATCAGGACTCCACGTGGAAAACCTGATCTTGGCTGAGCCAGCATGAGGCTGGGTGGGAGATGCCTTGTCACAGAAACTTTGTGCTGAGTCTTGGAGGTTTTGGTGGAAGCCGTGACCTCCCACACAAAGCAGTCAGCTGCACAGTCGGCTGTGCTCTCAAGTGTGTTAATAGAGTAGAAATATAGAGAGTTGTTTGTTGGCTTGAGAGTTCCTCTCACGCCTTTTTGTGGTCTTTTTTCATCAATGTCTTTACTGGCCCCTGCTCTGGGACAAAACATGCCTGGTAATCTTGTGACAGGCAGGATGGAGAAACTTGGGTATTTGGGGCCTCACAGTGGACTAACAAACCTTTCACATTGGTAGCTCCTGCAGATCCAGGGGTCCGGTTGGCCTTGCTTTACCTGCATCATGATTTAAGTGAAATAAATTGCTTAGGTCCCTGGAATGCGAGTCCTACTGCTGTCTTACTGGCAACTGTGAGCCCATGTGATGATATAAATAGCTGAATTATTTGACTGTCTAATACTGTCCTTAACAGGAATCTCACCTGTTGAAATGGCAATCAGGTAACTCAGGCTGGTGGAGGTTTCTGGCCACAATACAAATAATGGATTTGGATATATTTCCACTGCTGACTTGTCTGGCAGTTTGGAGAAGCCGGTTCTTTGCCCTACATGGTGATGGACTGTCTAAGCATAAACTCGTTGCTCCTTTTTTTCTTCGTCTCGTATAGGATCACTATGACTGGGGCTTGCGTGCCATCAAGTCAGTGCTAGTTGTTGCTGGCTCCCTCAAGAGAGATGACCCAGAGCGACCCGAAGACCAGGTTCTGATGCGTTCTCTTCGCGACTTCAACATCCCCAAGATTGTGACTGATGATGTGCCAGTGTTTATGGGGCTGATTGGGGATCTTTTCCCTGCGCTGGATGTGCCTCGGAAGCGTGACCTGAATTTTGAGTCATTTGTGAGGCAGGCTGTTCTGGACCTCCGTCTGCAAGCTGAGGACAACTTTGTGCTCAAAGTAAGACCAAATGAACTTCTGCTGTACCTACACTGCCATCAAATAATTCGGGTTTTCTCAACCAACTTTGCTTCTACAAGAGGGCTCTGCACAATATTCCCCTTGCAGGAAGACCTTGATGGAGAACCATCAGCTATGCTGGGTCTGATGTAGTTACACTTGTCCCTAAAGCCAACACTGGGTTGGTCCTTGAGCTTGCAAAGAGGCTAACCCTTGTAGGCTCATGAAAGTTTGGCCATGTCGTGGTTTAACCCCAGCCAGCACCTAAGCCCCACGCAGCCACTCGCTCACTTCTCCCCTGTAGGATGGGAGAGAGAATCAGAAAAGTAAAAGTGAGAAAACTCATGGGTTGAGATAAAGACAGTTTAATAGGTAAAGCAAAAGCCGCACACACAAGCAAAGCAAAACAAGGAATTTGTTCACTAGGAATTCTTCCCATGGGCAGGCAGGTGTGCAGCCATCTCCAGGACAGCAGGGCTCCATCACACGTAATGGTTACTTGGGAAGACAGACGCCATCACTCCAGACATCCCCCCGCCACTTCCTTCTTCTTCCCCAGCTTGATATGCTGAGCATGGCATCATATGGTCTGGAATGTCCCTTTGGCCAGTCTGCATCAGCTGTCCCGGCTGTGCCCCCTCCCAGCTTCCTGTGCACCCCCAGCCTGCTCGCTGGCAGGCCAGCACGAGAAGCCGAACACTCCTTGACTGCTTAGCAACAACTGAAAACACCAGTACATAATCAACTTTATTTTCACCTCAAATCCAAAGCATAGCCTCATACTAACGTCTATAAAGAAAATTAACTCTATCCCAGCTGAAACCAGGACAGGGCCATGGAGAGCAGAGCCTCCTCAGCTGATGGCTGTCTGATGTAAATAGTGCTGGAGGTTTGTCTGCAGGCTGAGGATTTCACTCATTGTGATTAGAATGTCTAGACCAAACTCAGTGTCAAATCCGTTTGTGTCTCTGGGTCACACCTTTCTAAAGAAGATGCCCCATGGGAGCTATTTTGTAGATCTGAACTTCAGTTTGGCATCTTTGTCTGAAATGTGGGAATATTTTTTCTCAGGTGGTGCAGCTGGAGGAGCTGCTGACAGTCCGGCACTCTGTCTTTGTGGTGGGTAACGCAGGCACAGGCAAGTCTCAGGTGATGAGATCCTTGAACAAGACTTACCAGATAATGAAACGACGACCTGTCTGGACAGACCTCAACCCCAAGGCAGTCACCAACGACGAGCTTTTTGGCATCATTAACCCAGCAACAAGAGAATGGAAAGATGGTAAATGTCTTTTCATGCCTGAATCTGTAGCTAAAGAAGAATATTTTTAATGAACTTCCTGAGCAGCAGCAGCAGCAGGATGACTCGTTCTTTGTATGCAGGTCTGAAAGCCCGGGCACTTGTGTGCTTCTCACAGTCACATGAGAGTTTGTTATTGAAAGGGTAAGAAGGGTGTTTTGGCTTTTTGGTCTTCAAACGGTTGGACTTGATGATCTTAAAGGTCTTTTCCAGCCTTAATGATTCTGTGAAATGGAAAGGATAGCATAAACCTGCTTTATCCTATTGCCCTAAGAACGATTATCATGTCCATTAATACCAACACTTACCAGTTCCTAAATGAGCCAGGCAGTTTTTTGGGGTTGGCTGGAGCAGTGATGGAAGACTTAGCTCCTGCTCTATGGTGTGCACTGGGACCTCCCAAAATGTGCCACCCCCAGGTTTAGATTGCTGGTAGCATACACGTGGCAGCCCTAAAGTGGTGTTTTTCCACCAAATATTGCTGCTCGGTCTCTGCAGTACACCAGCATTTGCCAGTCTGTTGATCCTGATTACTCTTAAGGAAAAGAAGATGAGCATTTAAAACTTGCTGAAAGACTACAGAAATCTGGAGTGAAAATGTCCAGTTGTGACTAATGCGTAAAGGCAACTTTGATTTACGTGTACGGCTGGTTTGGGAGGTGTGGGGGAGGTAAGGGAAGACGTTGCCATAAATCATCCTTGGCCAGAAGTCTGCCAAGGGGTGAGCTGCCACCCACCTCCCCTGGCCGCCACCACGGACCCTGCCTGACCCCCTACTTTGCTCCAGTGCCAGAGTCGATTTCTTTTAAATTGTAATTAGGGACCCTAAATCAAAGTGACAGAGGGAAGTGTGGGGTGCAGCCTGAGCTCTGCAGACTGGCTGCGGCAGTGACTGCAGATCGAGGACGGCGGGTGGCACTGAACAGCAGGAGGGACATTTTACAGGTGGCTGTCCAGTGGTTTCTAGCCTGTAACGTTTCAAGGGAGCTTACATCACTCCTCCCTGAGGTTTCAAGGCAGATGTTTTCTGCCTTAACCGTTCCTGAAAATTTTGTTTCTTTTTGTCAAAGACCCGCAAGGCAATCTTCACCACAGCCTAACAAGAGATGGTGTGCTTCCTTACGGATCAGCCCCTCCTTTTCCTCTTCCCATTTTCATCGTGTCACTCCTTTCATTATCAGAAGTTGAAAAGGTTATACAGGTTAGCTGATAAAAGTTCCCACAAGGGAATCCTAGAGGTGTTCTTTGTAGAATCAAACTCTTCTTTCAAATCCCAAGACCGGTCTGTGGCGTAGATGCACAAGGTTAGGAGAGCGGCACTTTTATCTCCACTGCTGTCGTGGTGTATGTGAGGGAAGCATTAATGCCCTGAGACAGTAGCTATTTCTGATACTAATGATATTGGAGCGGTTTCCAAGGCATGTGTCCAACATGTGAGGAACTGAGTTGAGGTAGAGACAGTGAAATATTATTTTTTTTGACCAGTCTCAGAATGGGATACCTGTTTCAGGTGAGGTGTTCTGCATTTGTTGTGCACAAGCTTTGTCTTCAGTCATATAATGCCACTAGCTGTTCCTGACCTGGATCACAAAGAAATATCTTGTCCTGGAGAAAAAAAAGTGTGCTTGTCATGATTCACCAGAAGAGAGAATTTTTTTTTAACATTTGCCTGATGTTTTTTCATGAAGGCCAGCATCTCCCTAGGTATTTTCATGTGTAGAGGAGAGCGATAGTTTTGTGGAGTTTTCATTTGCTCTGCAGTACTCCTGCTCTATTCCCAGCCTTCTTGGTCTTCTTAACATTCATTATTTACTCCCCTCAAGACACTGTATCCTCTCTGTCTCCTTGATTTTACTGACATTTTGTACTGTCATTCAATGTCATTCTGTGCTTGTTTTCCCCTCAATCTCACTAAAACCATGACCCAGCGTTTAATGCATCTTGATTTCCCTGATATACTTCGAGGCACAAAAAACCCATTTATAAGAATTTCCAAGGCATATTCAGATGGTTTTCTCTGCATTGTGTAATTCATGCCTTCTTTTGCCTCTCAGTATCTGCTCTTCACATTTCCTATCCCTTATTATTCTCGGTGGGAATGAAGATCCTGTGTAGGTCCGTGGTCATTTTCAGTGGTGGTAACTGATAACATTTTGTTTCCTTCAAAGCAGGCTAGACCTATATCATGACAGTAGTATTTATGTACAGATGCATAGAGTTTTGAATGCTTAAGAGGAAAACATTAATTAGGACAATTTTAATAAGTTGCTAGAGCAAATTGTTAGAGCAGGTGGCAACTTCAGTGTTCATCAACATATTCCTTTCATCCTCCTAGGACTGTTTTCATCAATCATGCGAGAACTCTCCAACATCACACATGATGGTCCCAAGTGGATGGTACTAGATGGAGATATTGATCCAATGTGGATTGAGTCTCTTAATACTGTGATGGATGATAATAAGGTAATGAATATAAGTTAAAGAAGAAGGTATTCTTTGACTGCATGGCGTGATTCAGCCTAGGAGAAATGCAGATGCTGAAATAACATCTCCTAGAATACTGCAATTGCATTTCTTCAGATATGCCAAACAGCATTGTGTAAAGAAAATGGTGCATGAGGGAAATAGCTCAAAGCATGTTTTCAGTGGAATTTCCCTTTCCTGGAGAGTTGGGCTCATGAGTAACCGCAGATATCCTGATCATAACTTCAGAGTGGGGTCATAATCCTACACCTTTTCCCCCATCTTAAGGAAGCATTATACATTCTGTGTTGTGGAAGAGAGAGGGATGGTTCCACTACCTGCTAGAAATCAGCTGCTTTGCCTCAAGGAACTGGGCTGACAGCAACCAAGCTTTTTTGTGGGAGACCTTAGTCTGTCTGTCTGCCACATGCAGGTGCTGACCCTGGCAAGCAATGAGAGAATCCCCCTGAACCCAACGATGCGGCTGGTCTTTGAGATCAGCCACCTGCACACAGCTACCCCAGCGACCGTGTCCAGAGCAGGTGAGTGCTGGCCTGAGCTTCACACTGGGATTTTGCATGGACTGAGTAGGATCTAGCGCCATTAACCAGTCTTTTGTTGGCCAGCTTTGTTCCTGTTGAAAATACCCAACCTGGGATCACAGCTGCCTTTGGTGGACAGGGTAGGTTCCTGAAACACATAGACAAACCAAGGATCCTGACCCCAAATCCATATGTGGAGCTGTCCATAGCCTGGAGATTTACCTGGAGCTCTCTGACTGTTGATGGGTGATCATAGCTTCAGCACTGCTGAGAGAGTGCTCCTGTTGTGCAAAGCCCTGTATGGACTTGATGAGGAGAGGGACAGTCCCTATCCCAAATTGCTCCTGATCTTCTGGAGCAGTGCCTGAAGTATGAATGCAAGAAGGGAATGAATGAATGTGTCCCCTAGTTTTAGACATGGGGAAGTGGGGCCCAGAGCAATAACATAGCAATAACTCAGACCAGACCATATTCTGAATTTGGGGCAGTGTCATGAAAGGTGTCCTGGTTTCCTGAGTTAAGTCTCTTCACTGTTAATGTTTCTACTCTGCAGTGGAGCAGGAGGAGGGGGTGGGTAATGGGATGCCAGGCATATTTGATGGGGTTTTAGTTGTGTGAAAGTAGCCGAGAAATTCTGCTGGAGGAAAGTAGTAGCCTCTACTGTGTCCTTACTGTATCTTTTCTCTTATCCTGGGCCTGAAGGGATCCTGTACATCAACCCATCAGATCTGGGCTGGAATCCCCCGGTGAGCAGCTGGATCGACAGACGAGAGATCCAGTCTGAAAGAGCCAACCTGACCATTTTGTTTGATAAGTACCTGCCAATTTGCCTGGACACACTCAGAACAAGGTACCATCTGAAGAGTGATTGTACCTCTGCTGGCAAGGTCAGGGGGACACTCAACACTTTCCAGACCAGCTATGGTGTGCTGGGGTTGTGCTGCATGTGGCATGGATGGCTGGTTTCCTCCTTGCCCCTGAGAGCCCTGAGCATCATTGGCTTAAGCTCAGAGAAACAACAGGGTGAGGTGGGGGAGCCTTCCTG